ACCGGATGATCAATTATCTAAATATCCTAACCTACATTTACTAAGCACCCAACTCTGTCTAAAGCGCACTGTTTAAAGTGAAAGACTGCAACGTCCCACGTGTATTATTGAGTTGTTTGGAGGAAAGGACACTTTTAGCGTGCGGACCTGGGATGGAGATGGCACCTGTCTCGGCCCTCCCCTGCAGCTGCCTACAGCGCTGCATTCCCCACGGTTATTTAGCAGGCATGTCGGTGTCGCCTCTCCATCCAGATAGGTTACTCCCCGGCTGTTACTCATCACGACTGTACAATTAACTAATATTATATGTATTTCCAGTTCCAAACTCTTCCCATCATACCTTACCGCTTACTAGAAGTTCCTTCTTTCTTTGCGTATGGATGAGTATCACGACATGCTAACGGCTCTATTCAGGTCGGTCTTAGTCATGATCTCTCACTCTTGCTTCCTTACTTTGATGTGTGCTACCGTCGACGTCTTCGGCCGCCATAAGACCTGGAGGGCTAAAAACTCTCACGCAATGTCTTTCAATTGCGTAAACAACTAAGTAGTCACTTTTCGATGGGGCTTGTAACAATCACATGGGGGATCAGCTTATTAGTTACTAGACTCTAAATGCGATGGCTAATTTCCTCAAAAAGTACACTATTTTTTCTTAAAAAAATGAACTCTTTCCTGAAACAAACCAAGGAAATTAAGTAAATCAAATGACTGCAAAATTCTGCAGTAAGATCGAAACGAATCGCAGTTCCCCTGAATTCATATCTAATATTCTTTTTAAAGGGATTACTTATTAGCAACAACTTTTAACTGATCTGAGGCATATTAATTGCTGACTGCCGTTTCGGACGTTATTTATTTGGCGATAAGGTTTCCTGTTTGGGTGAAGCTTCAAATATTATCCAAACAGACATCGGTAAATGCTTTCGGGATGCATTTTATTTTTATGGCTTCAACATCTTCTAGGGGAACAGAATATACATTTGTGGGCAATCCACTAAAACACTTGAAATCGTAGTGTTTACCCCTATTTAAAGGGAGACCTGAAACCCCTCATCCTTCAGAACCGGAACTAGCTATAAAGAAATTTGATGACTGGAAAGTTTTCCTAATATGCACAAAGTCGTATGTTTGCGATTGCATCTGACAGTTTTATTAAATCTATTAGTCACAGACAGGCCTACCAACATGTGACCGTATGAAAAATTTCATTTCCATAACATATCGTTCGGCGAACTCAAGCAAAGACACGTTTGTCTTACCAATCACATCCCGAGGAATGTACCAACAGAAAAAATACAAATCTGTGCAATGATTCACCGTACTAACAACAAAGGTATTAGCTAAAAGCCCAGATACGCGTGTTTCGCCAATCTTATGCCGCTGCCTAACGCAGCTCCGAGGGGTTCGGCTCGTCAGTGGGTCCCCCAGCTTTCCCCGTGTGTTTTCTGGTATATGAACTGCAGTTTCAACTTGCCTTGTTTAATTTCCAAGGAAATTAATGCGCGAACTTGGAGTAAATCTTTCGAAACGGGCCTTTTCAGGCACGCTCCAAATTTTGATACGAATATTTGAGCTGAAATCCATCAGCTACTGCGGAATAACGGTTTAATATTCACAAACCGCCAACAGGCAGCCAGTAGTGTACATCTGTGCAATGATTTACCGTTACTCCAAGTTCGCGCATTAATTTCCTCGGAAATTAAACAAGGAAAAAATACGGTCGATTTTGACGAAACAAGGCTGGAATCTATACTCAAAATTAAGGTTGTTATCCTAGTGCCATACTTGGCATCGCATTTATTCTTGAAGGATATGTAAGGGCAAGTTTCATTGAAAAGCTTTTTTAGGCGTCATTTTACCTGCACTGTTATAGTTACTCAGGCTTTCGCACGGCCAAACTTTCCACTTATGGGAAACAAAAGCTGAAAACGATTTACAACGACTTAAGAGTTTTTCAAGATTTTCTGATTTTCCAAAAAAGCTGGCATTTCTGCACAACGTCATTCAATTTTAGTACTTCATCTATGTTTTTAATTCGCATAAAGTCGTTGATTAGCATTTCAAAGTTTTGGTCGATCCGTTTGTGTCGATTATCAAGCTACTGGCAGTTTTTTGCAAATATCAGCACATGCTAGTTATCGCCTCGAAAGCCATCGTTTGGGTCCACACGATCCCGAGAATCAACCGCACGTTTATATATCATGGAATTATTCTAGGAGATTTTTAAATGATGGTTCTAGTACTACATAGTTCGGCAGCATTTACTTTTTTCAATGGAGATTACGTGACATAATATGATAGTTCTAATCGTGCATGCCTAATCAGAGGACCAGACGCGAGAGAAAACGACTTTTCTCACTACGAAGGCTTTCTTCCTCGTGTATTTGATGGGAGTCTGCTGATGGAAATGACGTCTTCTTTCAATTTTATACTAGAAGTAAAGATATAATTTGGTTTTAAAAAAAGTTTCTAATTATGAGATTTTTTAATACCGTGAAATAGCCGTTCATAAAACGTCATGTCCCTGCATTTACTAGTGTTGCTTGTAAAGTCAACATTCTGGCTCAAATCCATTACTAAATTTCATAACGCCCATATAATGGCCTCTGAGTACCGCTGAGCAATTTACGGTTTTCCGTACGTAGAAAAAATACGGCTTATATTTCGAAAACCCTGAATTCAAAATTATGTGGGAATTAAACATGTTTTTCAAAACCAAATTAAACCCTTTCTCGGAGCATTCATTTGAATAAAGACGTAATTTTCTGCCGAATGAGTGAAAGAATGAATAGTTTTGTGTGTGTTTTTCATAAAATATAATTGACTTTTTAAGTGCATCAAAAATCAGTGAGCAAAGTGCATGCTACTGAAGTAGTCGTTTTTACAGAGTGTATTTCCTGCTTGCAACCGAAAAGAAGTTTTTTTGAAAGCCGACATCCTGAGGTAACTGAATTGGGACAGAATTTTGCTGCACGATGTTTGGTTTATCAACCATGTTTAATTTATCTTTTCGAAACGAAAACGCGTTTTTGGATTTGGGTTGACATTTGATGAGTTAGTCCACCTACTGTATATGCACGTGGCACGCGCATACGGAGTCCTTCACGTCTCGCCAAACACTGTGACCATTTCCATTACCGGTCTACGAAAAACCTTGTACAGTCGGCTGATACATGTGAGAAGTAAGCTTGAATAACTCCAATCTTCCCCTGGCCCTCGGTACGACGATAGCACTTTCTAACGAACCAGAGCCTGAAGTTAACAAATGTGAGAGACCTGGGTCGATAGATTGAGAATTATGTAGGGCTCACCGGATCAGTGGAATTGAGTGGCTGACGTTTCGGAGGGCTCGGTGGGTCCTCCATTATCAAAGCGTGTTCTGCAAAAAAATCGACCAGAATTTTGGAAAAAGTGGTCGAATTAGTTGGACATGGGCTGGCCGTTTTTTCTCTTCGTTCGCGGCCTTGGCCTACTGGCCTTCGTCTGTAATATAGGCTGCCTCTGCGATGTGCGGTATCAACTCAATGGGGTTTGGCAGGATCTGTGTTCTCCTTTTGGCTGAAGTAATCGATGGGCCATGTCTTCTCAGTATTTTTAAGCTCCATATGACCGTCTTGCCCTGATCATGGTAAACGTAGTGACGTAAGATTTCATTGGCGTTTAGATGTCTGTTAATGGATTTGGAATCTGATTACCAAGCCTCAAATGTGAGACTTTCTGCCCTTGAGATGCCCCTACCTAAGACGTCTGCTCCTTGATAGTCAAAACTGTGGCCAATTGGTCCGATGTGAGTTTGGATCTAGTCTCCGAGTTGCCAGTTTGTGCTTATGTAGGCGGGTCTGCTATTTCCGTCCGGTTTCCCCAACGTAGTTGCAGTGTCCATCGCTACAACGCATTTGATAGACAACTGTTGAGGTTTCAGTGGGCGGCAGTCTGTCTTTGGATTGCATCAAATGGCGACGAATTGTTGCCTGGGGTCGATGGGCAGTGCCTAACCTGGCGGGTTCTAACAGTCGTGAAACCGCCTCGGAGACTCCTTTAATGTAAGGAATAGCCCTCCGGACTTCAGGTTGTTCTTCTTGTGGCCTTCGTCTGTTCATTCGGCGCTGGCTTTGCCTGATGAATTAGCTTGAGTATTCGTTGGTTCGAAAAAGGTCATGATGGTATTGTCGTTTAACTCTTTTGTCGGCTGATGTGCTGCAGTGTGTTCAAACTGTTTGGAATAGATTACGGACACAGCTGCGTTTGTGAGAGAGAGAGGGTGATTGCTGTTGAGTTGCTGGTTTTCCGACACCACAGACCGAAATTGTGGGCTCAGCATGCGGACGGCACTTTCGTCGTCATCGAACGGGATCAGGTTCTGACATTCAAAGAACATCTCGACGCCGTCTTCCCGGACATTCAAATTACGATGGAGGAGGATGAGGAGGATGAGGATGATGATGAGGAGGATGAGGATGATGATGATGATGAGGAGGAGGAGGAGGAGAACAACCAGCTGACCTTCCTGGATGTCCTCGTCTGCCGCAAAGATTGTGGTGGCCTAAAAACCAAAGAGTTCGGGAAAGCTACAAATACGACGCAAATACTGAACTTTAATAGCAACCACCCGATCAGTCACAAACGCAGGTGCGTACGGACGCTATACCGGCGCGTTGAGACGCACTGCAGTGAAATGGAAGACAAGATTGCTGAATTACAATAGCTTCGACGGGTAATGAAAGCCAATGGTTACCCGCGCAACGTTGTCAAACAGTGCATGCGAAGACGACACCTGAGACCAAATCAAGCCGACCCCAAATGTCGGCGGGCTGTTCCGTACGTGAAGAACGTCTCAGAAGCCGTCAGTCGTCTTCTCACTCCACTTGGAGTTGGGGTTGCACACAGGCCGGAAGCAACCATTAGGCATCAATTCATGGGGCCGAAAGATCCGCTGCCACGGCAGGAAACGTCTGGAGTCGTTAACCGGATGTGGTGTAGTTGCGGACAAAGCAGTTATGTCGGAGAAATTGGGAGATAACTCCGTACGCGAATTGCCGAGCACGCAGCAGCAGTGAGGCGGGGAGACGCTGGCTCTAAGGTTGCGGCACACTCGACAGGACCCGGCCATATTTTCAAGTTTCAAGAGGCCGAAATGCTCGCAAGGAGTGGCAACCGCGTGAGTCGCGAGCTGATGGAGTCACGGTTCTCAGGCCCGCAATCCATCAACAAGCACAATGACCTCCCGGTACCATATTCCGTGCTGAGATTTTCCCTGGGCAGAGGAGTTAGTCACGTGGGGAGGACGCGGATGAGCAATTATCCCATTGACATTGAGCCAATTTTCCGCGCCATCGTCACACCAGCATCCAGCACGGATGACGAAATCACGGCCATTAACGACTCGGACGCGGACTGACAAGCCACCATCGCATCAATTACGACCCCAGCTGTTAATTACAGTGCGCATATGTTCCCACGAGAGCCACGTGCTATAAATACTGCACTCCTTGGTGCCACAATCGCCTTTATCTGCTAATGTCTCTGATGATGGATTCGAGTAAGGACCCGAAACGTCAGGCAAATAAATTTCTTGTTCCGGTGATCGCATCTTCATCTTCTGAACTGCTTCCTGGAACTCGCCTGTTCGCTTCTATCAGGAGAGAATTTCATTAGCCATTTTGAGCTCCAAACTGAGAGAGCAAGCAAGTCAGCATGGATTTGCTCCAGGCAATGAAGGCTCGTAGATTTTTGAAAGAACATGCACATTTGAGATCATCGGCATAAATAAATGATTGAGAATGTTTAACTGCTGCTGGAATATCATTTATGTAAAGCAAGAACAAAAGAGGACCTAAAACGGCACCTTGTAGGACACCACTTACAATAGGGCTTTCACTGGGAAGTAAAGATCCCACTTAAACCTTTTGTTTACGATTAGACAGGTATGATCTGAGAAAGTCTATTAGTTGACTGCGAATTCCCAAAGCTTCCAATTTAACCAAGAGTATTTTATGTGGTACTTTATCAAAGGCTTTACTAAGATCAAAATAAATAACGACAACAGATAGATGGTCATTACGAAGAGAGGTAAGTAGATTGAGAAACGACAGATGACATGTTTCACAAGAGCGATCTGGTAAAAAACCATGCTGGGAAGGGCTAATAACTTGATTGGCTACGCAAAAGTCGGTAATTTTTAAGGCGACTGTCTCTGATAATGAGTTCGGGCGAGAATTCGAAACGTCAGGGCGATAAATTTCTTGTTCCAATCATCACAACTTCGTCTTCTCAGTCACAAGCGTTGGCTTTTCTGTGAACTGTCTGTTGATGGCGGAGTTCGATGAGAGATCCGAATACCCCGGAAGGTCAGCAATAATATGCAGTTTTCAATATCTTCTGCCAATTGTCCACAACCTTGGTTTCTCTAATTTATGTTCGCCGAAATTTTTAAAATAAGACAATCCTTAAACTATTTTGGCTCTTTGCGAGTTCTTCGGTGTTCATTTTCCGGCAAACGATATTTTAGGTCATATCTGTAGGCGAGCTTACAGATGAAGCCCGGCCGCTGTATGAAATGATTGTTTACTGCAAGCATCTGATATGAGTGTGCAATTTGACAAAGAAGCTTCCCCTTTGATAAATCCTCCCTTTTTAAAATTCACTGTTGTAATGCGTCACAAACCACTGTCTACGTCCTTCAATTTCCCCCTTTATGTATTTATCTGATTGGTACTGGCAGTTTCTTTGCCACAAACGAAAATTTCTAATTTTTCTATTTTTGGGATAGTTATAAACTTTTTGTGGACTGAATTCCTGCAGGAAAATGCGCAGCAGTGCGGCCATTTACATATAAATTCGGGTTTAGTTCAGCCTAAAAGGGTACGCTGTGAATAAACATCAAACCACTTAGCCGAAAGCCAAATTAAGCCCTTGATGCAGAGCCCATTTGGGGTTGTTTTAAAAACACTTGTCTGAGCCTGAAAACCACTGATGTGATAAAACAAATTTTTATCGGTGCCAGGAGGGCTAAAAAATTGCCAAAATTTGCAGACCAGGATTTTTACAGAAGAAAGAGTTCCTGTTTCCCGACAGCAGTGTGGTAATTCACACTCCAGGGCGGAAAAGTCAGATTTTGAATTAGCGAAGGCAGCTTTAAAGGCTGCTGCCTTGTAGGCAAACATATGACTATAGGCGGATCCGATCTAAGATGGTCACTGGCATAAGGAGTTGCCTGAGTATAAAGTACAGTAGGTGGAATGTCAACCGAAATTCCGAAATGCGTTTTCGTTTCGAAAAGAGTACCTAAGAAGGGTTGTAAAACAAATCATCATTTAGATACTTCGGGATGCTGGCTTTGAACGAACTTCCTTCCGACTGCATATGAAAGCTGCAGTTTGCAATGATTATTTAATCCGCATGCATTTTTCTCATTGATTTTCGACGCCTCTAAAAGTGCTCTTATATTTCATGAAAACATGCATTAAAATATTCACTCCTTTACCAAACTATATCCTTCCTTCGAGTATGAGATTGAAAGAAGACGTAATTATCTACCGAATGAGCAAAAGAATGAATATTTTTATGCATATTTTCCATGAAATATAATTTAACTTTAAGGAGCATCGAAAATCAATGAGAAAATGCATGCTGCATTGGTAGTCATTTTTTACAGAGTATGGTTTTTACATGCAGCCGGAAGGAAGTTCATTCGATAGCCGGCATCCTGAGGTGACTGAAATATTATATAATTATGTTGCAGGCTGACTAGTTCTGCAAGCCTACTTAATTAGTCTTTTCGAAACGGAAATGCATTCCGAAATTTCGGTCGGCATTTCATGGGTTAGCTCACCTACTGTAATGTGGGAATCCGTCGAAATTACGTCTTCTTAATCGCTACGATAACCTAAACGTAGTATCTGTTTAGGAAAGAAATTTTTCGAAACGCCTTAAGCTCGCGGGTAGTATACAGGACGTCCGAACGGACCGACCATACGACTTTCTTGCCGTGTTACATGAGGATGCAAACCCTCTTTTGGGGGTAGTCTAGCGCTGAATTCCAGGGAAATTAGGGTTATGGGTAGGGTCTGGGTTAGGGTGAGGACTCAGATACAGGCAAACTACTTCGAATTTAACGCAAGGCCACATGCAATACCTAGTAAAAAACAGGGAGTTCAAAGGTTCAACAGCTACATTCCCCTTAAATAAACTGAACTGGCCGTTCCTATTCATGCGTCCCGTTTTACTGGACCCTAAAACACAGTAATTGCCCTAAATGAGAGCGGCGGCTACATTGAATTGTGGCAGGCGTTATATGGGAATCGCGAACCCATAACAAATGCTAACATTTGGAGTGTGGCGGCACACCTAGACGCAGGTTCACTCCGCGCCAAATGGGACCCCTGCCGTCCCTCCTCCATAACTGTTGTTGGTCAAAGTCCTGATCAGGGGTTTGCTGTTGACCTGGAGGTGTGGTGGTACCTCTAGGTGCGTGTTTACATCGTGCCAGTCTCCTCCGCACTTCCCCGCCTCCGGCTGTCTTGACACCGGACCCAGATGAAAGAGGAGAAGGGAGAAGTCACCTTCCCTGTTCTCACCCTGCCTGCATAGCGCACGGTGGACATCTTCGAAGACTCTGTACAGTTACAAGACGAACTGAATCGCTTGCAACAAAGGTGCGATGAGTGGTGTCTTGGCCTCAATCGTAACAAATGTCAACTTGCCCGATTACAATCGGCCAACAGGAGGCCGTTGAGATTTGAATTTCACTACTTTATAGGAGGTCACTAACTCGAATCAGTCAACGACTTAAGAGACCTCGGTGTGTGGATGACGTCAACTCTCAAACCATCGTCTCACTGTGCCAAGGTATCCAAGAAAACTATGGGTATCCTAGGCGCGATTAGAAGATCCTTCGTCAATTTTGATGAAGAACTTTTCGGCCGAGTATTTGGAGCATACGTTTGACCAATGTTGGGATATTGTGTTCAGGCATGGTGTCCCTGGACGAAAAAAGATTACACCCTACTGAAGAACGTACAACGAAGGGCGACCAAGCTAGTCGGCGGATTAAACAGCCTTCCTTAAGAGATACGTCTGGAAAAGCTAAAAATATTTCCTCTCTCTTATAGACTACAGAGGGGATATGATCATGGCCTTTAGGATCGTCAGAGGGCTAGACTGTGCTCTTCAGTTTGACGATTTCTTCGAACTGGTGTGGACGAAAAATCTTTGAGTGCACCAACATAAATTGAAGCTAAAATATGCCAAACTCGAATTGAAGGCCAGATTCTTCTTCCATTAAACTGGTCGAAGGATGGAACAAATTACCAAACTCCGTTGTCTAAGCGGAAAACGTTAAGACCTGCAAAAGAAGACAAGATACGTTTATGCTTGGTAGGCAAACATTTACACGATATTAATGACTGGCATAACTGCTATGTAAATATCTGCATGCGTCTATCTGTGAATAGGGTTTTCCAAAACTCTGCCTATATCCCTCGTATATACTGAATTATACTGAACTGAAAAAACCAAGGCTCGGACTATCGTCTTCCTTTGGAAATATTTAGTCACCCGCTGTGGTTCTGGCACTTTCTGTAATTGCTGGCATTCCAGAGGAGCAGTGGTACGTCGAGTGTTACGCGAAGAAGAAATAACCGCAAATTGTAGTCATCAGTGGTAATGAAACTGCCGAAGGTTGGGAGTTTTAAACAGCGCCGCAAGTTGTTTCCGCGCTCTGCAGAGAACCACCTCTCCGGAACTCTCAATTTCCGGAGTTAGAGCTCCGTTTCGCACGCTTAGGCATTTTACATTTTTAGGAGAAGCCAGAGCAGATTAAGACTGCGGAGAGAAACACTAGGGAACAGGTTATTCGGACCTCTTGAAACAGCTTAGGATGGAAGTTATCAAAACGTGTAGAGGAATGTTAGGCCTAAAGGTCTGCGTCAATGGTAAAATAGGACATTTTTCAAAATGTAAAGCTTTGTGTTTCAGATGTTTGGGTATCGCATTTCAGAATTTTTGAATTCTACCCCTGATCCTATCCGCAGGATGAAAAAACGCTGATTCTCATCTACAGTCAGCAACCACTTTCAGGAAATCTCGATCGAACTTTCTGAAATGACTTTTAATTAGGAAGGATTACTTATGCGTGGTTGTAATATTGATTGCCCTATAGTTTAGTCCCGTGATGTTTCAGCCACGTCGAGCTACTGGTTTTAGAACGCTGCTTAAACTGTGTTCATTTTCTCTGTCGATTTTCGACGTCCTCCTAAATTCAAAAATAGTTTGTAGGAAACATGTACTAAGGCATTCTTTCTTGTGCTCATTTGGTAGAAAACCAAGTCTTCTTCAAATTTTGCACTCGAAGAATGGGCATTTTCGGTTTTAAAAAGCTACAAATTACGAGATTTTTAAGACCATGCAATAGTTATCCAAATAGCATCGTGGCTGTCTGCTTAGTAATACCCTTCACTAAGTATACAGCATAGTCCCAATCCGTCGGAACATTCCATGATCACATACAGTATTTTGCTGGTAGCATAAAAGAATGCATGTTTTCCCTTACACAGAAACCAAACAGCTTGTAGACCGTAGGCCTTATACAAAAATGCAACAGCATATCAAGTCGAGAATTATTCAGGAATAGAAAAAGATTTTTTAAACCAAAAGATACTCTTCTCTCCTGGACAAAATTTCAGTAAGACATGGTCTGCCACTACCTGATTACAAGAAAGTAAAATTTTGTGCTTGTCCCCAGAAAAATATTTTTGAGCTTATAATGGCGCTGAAAATCAATGGGGAAATCGCATACTGCCTAACTAGCCGCGTTTACTGAGTGCGGTTTTTGCGGGAAGCCGACAAGAAGTGCATTCAAAAGCCGAGATCCTGGCGTATCTGAAATATCATGGGAGTACGTCGAAAGATAAGCAGTATTACAGCCCCCCCTAAGTAATCCTTCCTGATCAAAATCCCATTTCAGAATTTCGGTCAACATTTCATGAGATCGACCGCTGACTGTACGGATTATTACGGCATTCCAGCACCTCTTCCTAATGGTCGATATATTAACTAGCACCTAAAATAGAGCAGTCTGCTTGAAGGCGGTTTTCTCTAAATATTGCCAAATAGAGGAGTACACTTTTCTAGGAATTCCAGTTTTCTTTTAACGAGGTTATTTTCCACGGGCAAATGCATCTGTGTATATAATTAGAGGGGATGCAGTCAGTCAGTTAGTTGGATTTGTTTTTGTTTTCGCTGTCATTTCAACCTCCTGATAATGATCGCTACTGGAAATGCCACTCAAGCCACTAATGGGCTGGAAGATGTACCAATAGTAATTGAGATGCTGCCAGCATACGCCTCGCGCTTCCAATCGATTTTTTGCGAAATCACAATCGGCCGCCTTCAAAGACTACACGCAAACGTTTTCGCAAGTGCGCGCGACCCCTGGCAGCACGTGAGCACGCTGGCACGGTTGTCGCGCGAAGCGAGCGAGGAAACTCAGCCCGGTCGGTGTGAGCCTCTGATTGGCGGAGCTCAAGAACGAGGAAATGCGTGGAAGAGCGAGAACAGGCCGCCGTGTCAGCCGACAGAGCAACCAAGCAGGGCTGGAAGCTGCGCCACCTCAAGCGGAGAAAACATCTCCACGCTGCTGCTGCTGCTGCCGCTGATGAACTTTGGGTAAATATGCCCTCCTGGTGAATACTAGCAATACATTGCCATACCATTAGCTACCTTTCTAAAGTGCGGCAGCTCTCAAGAGACAACGGACTGGTAAGCATTCATTTCTTCGCAATTATTTGCTTTGTGAAATCATGTCACATCGTTATTGTGCTTCGGCACGAAACTCACCATCCACAGGAAGACGATCGATGCAGTATTTTTGATAATGCTTGCTGACTACTGAGTATTGCTATATTGCTTAAATTACAAAGCTTGTCGGTTTTATTAGTTACTGGAGCCCAATTGGGGAGCAATTTGACAATTTTTTTCAGATTTCGGGTCTTCCTGAATTTATTTTCCTAGTTGTCCAACAGAATCCTGTTAAATAAGCTTCCTACAAAGTGCCTTTTGATTCACTAAAAGGCAACGGTATAGAGAAGGACCCAACTTAACCGTCAGTAGACTGTATATCGAGTCATATGCGCTGGCTGTTGCAGAAATTAAGCTGCCAACAAGGATTACTTCCCACGACCTCACACGTTAACTCAAAATTTGTTATTGTGGGAAATTTGCTTGTTGTTTATTGCTTACTACTCTCATTTCCGTTGTCGTGCAATAGCGAAGGACAAGACTTCCGGCATAAATCCAGGCAATTTCTGTGTTTTCTTTCATTTTGTCAGCTTACAGTCTAGCGTGCTGTCCCACCCACAAAACTCCCTTTACCATAAATCACGTATGGCACGATCCACAGTCTACTGACAGTTAAGTGGGGTCCTTCTCTATACCGTTGCCCACTAGAACAAATATGTCACGCAACTATGATTTTCTCTCTTTTACGTTATTAAGAACGTCAAGCGTCTTCTCTTTGAAGATCCCTATTATCACAGTTCCCGTATTGGATATGGCTTTGCGCCATAGTTCCGGGGAGGGGAGACTATCTTTCCACGAAGACCCATTTTAAGTATTAAATTAAACAAGCAGTGTTGAAAAGGCTTTTTGACTCATATATTTAAAACACCACGTCTCATCTCCTTAATGGTTCCTATTATCAACATTTCCGCATTTAAAATGACCTAGCACCATATTTCGGCAAGGGAGCGGGGCACGCGTGTCCGCCCCAACTACTTTAGTAACCAGAAATTAATGTCCGAAACTTTTTATTTTTCTACCCGATTGGAGCACACCAATGGGGTTTCGGCCTGTCAGTGACGGGTGTATGTTCCTGCCATCGAGGCGGAATTTAAACTCCTTCCACTAATATCTCATTTCACTGGAAATCTTTGTGCCATTAACAAATAAGTGGGCTAGATTCAGCATCACATTAAATACAGTAGGCGACCCAACTGATAAAAGGTGACGAAATTTACGAATGATTGCTAATCACTCGCAAACAAGCACCAATTTATGAACCTTATATCTGCCTTAATAAAGAACAGCTTTAAGGGAATTCAAGACATAAAAGCTTTACTAAAAATAATATAAGGATTTTCAAAAATACCATTTTTTAGCAAAGTGGAAAATAACAAAGCGTAAAAATGGTTGTGTTTGACCAAGCTTCTCTTTGGATGTACAGAAAACCTGCCCATGCGAGAAAGTGAGGAAACATGACAGTAAAAATAGCATACTACTAGGAAATGGTCTTTCAGTAAAGTTGACATCAAAATATCCTTTGAGAATCGGTGTAATTTTGGATTTTGTGATTTGCTAGTAGCCTATATCCTCAGTATAGATCCCAAGAGCAGTTTCCTGAGAATTAGTTGTAATTTCCAAGGTTTTGGTTTGATTGGAATGCAGCCCAACAAAGCAAACAGGATTTAGCTAGAGGGCCGTCATCGGAATAAAGATTTTCACAAGGTCACATGTCGTCAAGCCGATCAGGGACTAACTATTTTGTGTATATTTATAGAATATTTTCCCCGTGAAACTAATTTGCACTTCTTCCCTGTTATGGATTTTGTTGAGTTTCAGAATGGCTGTGAAATATCCCTAAGCACATCACGATTTCCAGTGTTTTTAATCAGTCACCCATACAGACAGATGCTGTGTTATGCGTTCACTAAAACCTTCAAACTACTATTTCTTTGTAAAAGCATTTACCGTGGTAGCGAGTGTTTTGGAGTTCCTTTTCATGTGGATGGTCGTTTGAGCCATATTTGTGGACTTACCAAAGAAAGAAGCCTCACTGTCAGGAGAAACGGACCTCTACAACATATATCAACAAAAAATTTGCATTCTATCAACTAGGAAACTTTTTCAACAAGTTACCCATTTTAGGAGTCCTTTAGTAGTGGATTCTATCGACGGATGTCCGCGTAATTTAGATTTTTACACGGCAAAAGCCAGGAGAAAAATTGATACATTTGGCTGTTTAGTTTCGAGTTACCGAAAACGGATGACCATGTTTATCTTTTTATATGGCGGCCATATTTGCTATCCTTGCCCACCTTTCGGCGCGGTTCTATGATTATAAATGTAGATGAATGCTGCTAGTTTGCAAAAACACTTAGTGATTTGCCCGTTTCATTTCTACGTCATGTATAAGCAGGAATTAGGATGCAACAAAAGTAATGTTTCTTATGTGTAGGACTGAAAATAACTTGGTGTGAGAAAAGTAAAGCAGTATTTCGTCGGAATGAATTTTAAGCAAGCAGAGACAGCAGAATTTATTGGAACCACTAGATTTCGCGACGACCTATCAACTGCTGCCTCGCTGTTATCAACAATAGCAAAAATATCGTCCACATATCGTTTGCATAGTGTTTTCATATTCAATTCAAATGACAACCTTTCTTCTAAGTGACCCGTAAAAATGTTGCGAAAGGTTGGACCAAGCGGACGTCCCATCACTATTCCATCATTTTATCTGTACGACTGTCCATTAAACAGAAACTGAAGCTTCTAGTGTAAAGTCTTGACAGGTCACGCAGTATTTCGTGTGAAAGACGGGTTTCAGACGCACGGGCGCATGTGACATCTATTGTCTCATCAAGCGGTACATTTGTGAATATGAAAACACTACACAAAAGATATGGGAATAATATTTTTGCTATTGTTGGTAACAACGAGGAGGACATAGACCTACTTGTTATCATATATAATCTCCAGCCAAAGACCAAATTCACGATGGAAAGGGAGCAATGTAACGAGATATCTTTTCTGGATGTCCTCATGATAAGACAGGAAGATGGTTCAATAAGGCGATCGATTTTCCATATGGACACATGAAAGGATCAGTACCTACACTTCCTGAGCTTCGTACCAATACAACGAAAGCGAAATCTGGTTTTCACTCTTTTCCAAAGAGCAAGAAACATTTGCTCTATTGAAACACTGGATGTTGAAACCTCGCCTCAAAACAGCCCTGCTTAAACGTGGATATTCAACGGGTTTTAATCAAAAAGTACAGTAACGCTTTACGGCCAAAATTGACGAAGCAATCAGTCCCGAAAAAGCTCGTTGTAATATCCCTACCCTTTAAGGGTGACAGTATTTCAATTACCATTATGTGATGATCGAGATGCGCCATTGAAAGAACATACAACACAGCTTAATTCATATTCTGCAGCTCCACTAAGGCTATCTCAGTTCCATGGGCAAAGGATTCCTTGCCATTGCACGCCAAATCAAATTGTGCTTACGAATCCACATGCATTTGTGGAGGAAAGTATAGTAGGTGAACGCGAAGGCAATTGGCAGCCAGGTCAGTTCAGCACCTGCCCAAATGGTTTCTAAAGCAGGAGAATAAAATTCCACGGTCTTCTATCACAAAACACCTCCTTGATAGCAGTTATTCGGTTGACCCCAAAACATCTTTTCGAGTATTAGTTCGGACACAAACAACTCAGATACTGCGCTTATTGGAGGCAGCCTACATACGGCGGGAGAAACCCGACCTATGCAAACAGTTAGATTACGTGACTAACCCAGTTTGCCCTGGTAAAGGTTGGTTTGCGCAACCGCTCTTCGTGTTAACTTTCGTTCCTAATTTGCATTTTCAATTTAACATTTTATTGATTAGTCTGCGTGCATTATACGACGGCCTTGCTGTTTGATATTGATTTTACATGTGGAAGTTCAAACCTCTGTATCTTTCTCATTTGTTATCTCTGTTATGCAACGACACGCTGCAGTTGACAAGCCGTCGCGAAATTAAATGGTTTCTTTAAATTCTACAGTCTATGATCGCTTCAAATTACTGTTGGTAGTCTCCTTTATGTCATCTTAAAATTTTTTTCCAAATAGCGAAATGATTTCGACCCATTTAAACAAAACTTGCCTTTATGCATCGTTACTACAGTTTGGGCCTGAAATGTCGCAGGGTTGTTAATATGAACCTTAAAATCCGTCAAAGCGCCCGTTTCTCGTAAAATAACCTGTGAACTTTCGGTCTGATTCGCACGGTTGGTATGAACCAAAAAATTAACTTTGAAGTATTGCAAGTTCTTTTTGACAGAATTCATGTGGGTGCTCTATTCTTTTCTGAAAAAACCATTTTCAGCTGCACAAATGAAGTACGGGCCAGGTATTAGCATGGCAAACTTTACAAACATATAGCAGCGTGTATGTTCGCTCAAATCTATTAGCATGCTGGTTGATAAAATAACGTGAGCAAGAAAAAGACATTTCCTTGAAAAAGCTTTACGAGCGCGTTAAATGTGCAACGCTTGAGACGTCCAAACTTCGCATATCAGTTTCTGTCATCTAGTTTCGTGAGCCAGGTCAAACACCGTATAAGCGTGTCTGAGAAGGTGGAAATGGATAGTGTTTCCTCGTCCCACAGATGACAGGAAAATGCCTTAATCACAGAGAGGATATTATTTGGCCTACAAAATGCCCAGTTATTCTGTCTTGAATGGGAGATTCAGCGGAAACTAATGAGGGCGCTCCTTCAGAAAAATCCCCATAAATCACAGAGAGGAGAATTTCAGCCTAACCCCTCTTTTTGTTGTGTTTTCCCAATACGCAAAACATGCCAACTGATTCCAAATTGTTTAGTCCTCGTTCAACAGAAGTGTAACTGAGGACACTGCTTTTTAACTTCGTTGGGACGTGTTTTAAACCGACCACAGAGAGGGAATTGGAGCGGATGCTTCGCACTCAGAAAGTCTCTGTTTGCTTAGGACCACGAGGGCAGAGGTTACTCTCCTGGAACCCGGTTTCGATCTAAAAAGAATTGAAAAGATTTGAGTCTCTGAAGGTAGCTAACTACTTATTTATGCTTTACTCATACAATAGAGGGGCTAACTCATTAAATGTCAACCGAAATTCCGAAATGCGATTTCGTTTCGGAAAGGTTAATAAAATTGGGTTTGAAAAACAAATCAACGTACAGCCAAATTCTGCAATAATTCAGTTACCTTAGGATGCCGACTTTCGAACGAAATTCTTTCCTGCTTCATGCAAAAACTACACTCTGTAAAAAGGACTATTTATTTAGCATGAATTTTCTCATTGATTTTCGATGCCCCTAAAAGTCCAATTATATTTCACGGAAAAAATGCATTAAATATTCATTCTTTAGCCCATTCGGTAGATAATTACGTCTTCTTCTAACTTTACACTCGAAGGAGGAACATTATTCGGTTTTAAAGAAGTTTACAATTGTGGGACTTTCAAATATCGTGAAATGGCCGTTCATAAATCGTCATGTCTCTGCATTTACCAATGTGGCTTGTAAAGTTAACAATATGGATCAAGTCCACTGCTAAAGTTTATGAACCCTATATAGTCCCCCTTATTGCCGTAGAGAACTGTGTGGTTTTCCGTACGCGGAAAACATACGGATTGTAGTTTAAAAATTCTGAATACAAGTGTAACGTCTAGTCGGGTTCAAAATGATTCGGGAATTAGCAAAGTTTTTGAAAACCGAATTGTACTCTTCTTTTGAATATGAAATTGGAAGAAGACGTGATTTTCTACCGAATGAACGAAAGAATGAATATTGTTATGCATGCTTTCCATGATATATAATTGGACTTTTAGGGGTTTAGAAAATCAATGAGAAAAATTCATGCAACTTAAGTGGTCATTATTCCGTCGCCCCGTCGGCGCGACAACATTGGCAACGGTGTCAGATTGGGGGCAACAGCATCGGCTACACCAGGCGGACCTCAAGGAAAACTGCCTAAAACACTAGGTGTCGTTCATCTAGGAGCCAGGATGTACAGTTAAAGGGTGGTGGCTGATCTCTCGCTCGGAGTGCGCAGCTAGGATGTCATTCAAGTTAAGGTCCAGTTATTTGGTCGATACAGTCCTCGCGATAGATCCTCCATTCAGGTTGTCCCTGCCACTTAAAATCCGGCTCGAGGAAAGGAAGCGTGTTTGAATATTGCTACATACAGTGGCGGATTCAGATATCTCCCGAGAGAGCGGAGAGAAAAGCATTTTCATGCAGTTGAGGATGCTTCTTTCCGGTGTCTTTTCGTCCTGGGCAGGTGCTTGCTGTGGATCAGAGGGTGTGGAGTGGAGCTCCAGAGTGCGGGCTCGGCCGCACCATCCACCTGCGTCCTCCCCGCGTCCGATCTCCTTGACTTTGATCTTGAATCGAACCCAGGTGGGGAGGAGAGGGTGTGGCAGATGTAGCGCAAGTGCCCTCTTACTCACTCAAGCACAGGTTCCCGTGCCTGCATCACCTTGGTGTAGGGCACAAGGTAGAAAACGTGGGATGCGATGGTCGGACTACCATGTGAAATGAACAGAAATAATATAAAAAATATTATGTCAACCAAGGGCCCAATGTCTATCGTTCCATCGTGACATCCGTTTGTTACACAGGTTTAAGTTCTGTACCCAATAACCCGGTTAATAGCGCTACGCATCAGGGCGACCTGGAAATCAAGAATGGTTCCTATACAATCTCATGCTTATTTCATTGATTTGGGAAGAGGCAGACCTCGCTAGCCTTAATGGATTTTATTTGGCTATTATGACTGAGGAATTCCCAGTTCCTTATAACCCTTTTCGAGTTCTTATTCCTCATGCAAAAAATGAATTCCTAAAAGCGAATTCGACAAGGAAGAGTCGATCCGGAGTCTCTAAGAAACTGGTTTTTGCAACTCATCAGGTCGAAAAGTGCGGCAACCTTTAGATCACTGCCGAGGTCGACGGTTTTACGCTGGGAGGATTCTTGAATCCGAAGTTGGGAAGTTCGCATGTTTTTTACAAAATCATTTAGTGTTGGCTGCGCCATCCAACTGCGCTCTTTCCGCCTCCGATCTCCTTGACTCTGTCTTGACATCGGACCCCGGTGGGGAGGGGAGAGTGCGGTAGATGCTGCGAAAGTCTACTCTCACTATAAGTTCGCTCACGCGCAGGACACCGCGCTTGCTTTACCTTGTCGTGGAGCACAGGGTGGAAGGCGACAGTTAAACAATCATGTGCAATAAACAGAAATGTTATCGAAAATATTAAATCATCCAAAGTTCAAATCTCGATCATTTCATCGTGACATCCCAGTTGGGTTTAATTTTTGCGCATACTAACCCGGTTAATAACACTACGCATCAGAACGATCTGGGAATCAAGAATGGTTCCTGAACAATCTCATTCTGATTTTGTCGGTTCGGGAAGAGGCAGAATTCACTAACATTAATGGATCTGATTTAGCTATTCTGACTAAGGATTCCCAGTTTCATATGATCCTCTCAGGTACTTATTCCACATGCAATAAATGAATTTCGAAAAGCGAATCAGAACGGAACGAGTCAGTCCGGAGGCTCTAGAAAAGCTGGTTTCTGCAAGTCATCAGGCCAAAAAATGTGGCTGCCTTTGAACCATTGCCGACAGAACCACGTGGAAAGTTGTATGTTTGAAGGATCCTTGATTTCGAAGTTGCGAATTTTGAGTTTTCCTCTAACTCACGTAATTTTGGACATCTGTCAAGACAGTCAAAGTGTCTCTGACTCGTAAAACAGGCAAAAATCAAGTCCTAGCCTAGGAATTTCATAATGCATTAAAACTGAACCCGTCACTTAAGTAATACGGACGACATTTTCGTGCATGTTGATTTTTGGTTGTGAACAATTTTGGCAATCTGCCCAAAAGAGCATTACCACACAAGACTGCGTTTCTTTCTAGAGCGTTTCACTGTCGGTACATATATGGCCATATTGTAGAAGGGCATTCATCAACAATTTATTTTATTGGGCTGGTATTATGAGAACTCTTGAGACGAATACAAGGGCAACTCTGTGGCCCACGATCATCAGGTTTTTAAGGCCGATCACCAGCGGCTCAATAGGATTCATATCTGTTTCAATAATCTACGGCACTAT